TGTCTATTCACATCTTTTGCCTATTTAAAAAAAAAAAAAAAAAGTAACCTGTCTCTGTATTATTTGAGCCGTAGAAGTTCTTTATATATTCTGGTTACAAGTCCTTTTTATATACAGTCTGGGTATTTTTTTTTTCTTCTAGTGGCATAGAGACTAGAAGTTTTGACTTTTGTGAAGACTCCATATTCTTTCTTTCTGGTACTATGTTCTTTCTGGTTAGTATTTTTCGTATCCTAAGAAATTTTAGCGTCTCTCTTATTCTGAGCTGTTGAACCTCTTTTCCTATTGTTTAAAGGCTATTTTCCATTGTTTTCTGTGAACTGTCCATGTCTTTGGTTTGTTTAAGAAGCAGTTTAGGGGCACCTGGAGGGCTCAGTCGGTTAAGCATCTGACTTCAGTCTCGTCATGATCTTGCAATTGGTGGGTTCAAGCTCCACACTGGGTTCTGTGCAGACAGCTGAGAGTCTGGAGCCTGCTTCTTTTGTATCTCCCTCTCTCTCTGCCCCTCCCCCTGCACTCTGTCTCTCTCTCTCAAAAGTAAATAATAACATTTTTTAAAAAGTGGGGGCCACCTGGTGGCTCAGCCAGTTGAGTGGCCAACTTTGGCTCAGGTCATGAGCTCACGGTTTGTGGGTTCGAGGCCTTGCATTGGGCTTTGTGCTAACAACTCAAACCTCAGAGCCTGCTTGGGATTGTGTGTCTCCCTCTCTCTCTCTGCCCCTCCCCCACTCATGCTCTGTCTCTCTCAAAACTGAATAAATGTTTTAAAAAATCAGTTTATTGGTCTTTCTCTTCTTGATTTTTAAGAGCTGTTTGTATTTTAGGGAGATTAGCCCCTTATGCAGTGTCTTCTCCCACTTTGTTGTGCTTTCAACTTTGCATATAGTGGTTTTTTTCTATGCATAATTGCACACGTGGTTTTCACATGATCCAGTGTATCTGTTCTATTGCTTATAGGTCTTAGGCTATAGGCTCCCCGCTCCCAGGTTATAAAGGAGCGCACCCACATTTACTTCCAATACTTGTATGATTTTCTGTTGTACATTTAGACCTGTTCCATTTGGAGTGGATTCTGATAAACAATGAGACATGGAATCAATTTCATCTTTTTTTTAAGTTTATATATTTTGAAGGGGGGAGGGGAGAGGCAGAGGGAGAATCCTAAGCAGGCTCCACACTGTCCGTGCAGAACCGTTAAGATCGTGACTTGAGCAGCAACTGAAAGTCGGATGCTTAACTGGGTGAGTCACCCAGGTGCCCCAGTTTTATCTTTTTCCAAATGACCATCTGGTTGTACCCATATCGTCTGTTAAAAAGTCCATCTTTTTGTAATGATTTGAGATCATATTCCCCAGACCTTTATCATTAAGATACTAAATTCTACTTCAACATACTGCTCTGTCGTTTCTGGACTCGTTTGTGCCTCTGGCCCATCCGTCTGTTCCATGGGTGCTGTGACCCGCTCTCAGTTGTAGACTTTTATGTTTGAACATTCAGTAAGGGAACCTCCTCATTGCTGTTCTTTGCCACGGTTCTCCTAGATTTTCTTGCTCATGTATTTTTCCTCATAAACCTTGGAACCAGTGTGTCTAGCTCCAGAAAAGATACTTGTTGATTTTTTTTAAATTGAGAGTGTGGTAAATTTCTCTACGAACTTGGGTGAAGTTGACATGTTTATTGCTGTTGAACTGCCCTGTGCACAAACAAGGAACATTTCCTCCATTTGTTTCCGCTTCCTTTTCACCAGATTCTCGCGAGGACCCATGCAGGACTGTGTGGAGGGGCTTTTCCCATGGGGAGGTCAGACATTTCACATAGGTTCATTCCCTCTGAGTTGATCTCTTGCCTTGTTTATAATGGGCTCTTCTCTCTCTCTTTTCCAACTGGATGCTGTTTGCATAGACAGACTTTGTTGTTGGTAATTTTATACCTTGCTCTCTTACTGAACACGTTATCGTTGTTACTCATCCTAGCATTTATTTCCTTGGGTTTTCTAGATGTATTGAATATTATCTGCTAAAAGAGATCATTTATCTCTTCCTTAGAGTATGAATATTTTTTTTGTGTGTGTGTATTTTGAGAGAAAGAGCATGAGCAGGGGAGGGGCAGAGAGAGACATGGAGAGAGTCAGTCCCAAGCTCTGTGCTGTCAGTGCAAAGCCCAACATGAGGCTCAAACCCATGAACCATGAGACCATGACCTGAGCCGAAATCAAGAATCGGGAGCTCAACAGACTGAGCCACCCAGGCGCCCCTGAGTATTTTTGAGGCTTTGTGTTGTAATTGCCAAATCTCTTCTGTTAAAAAATATGGTACCAATTTATGTTCCTGCTGGAAGTGTTCTGCCACTCCCGTGCCAACACGGAGTATCAACGTTTTATTTAAATCCTTGCCAGTTTAATACAACCTTCATTCATTATGAAGAGGACATCACGGGGCCCCTTCCATGCCAGGCCGCTAGAGGGAGGCTGAGGACACCACGGGGAGCAGACTGACCCCCCCCTTCACTTGAGTCCTTATTCTCAAGTGAGAGGACACTGAAGTTTGTTTCCTCCTCCCCAGCTTTACCGAGCAATGACTGACACAAATTGTATAAATTTAGGTTTTACAAAGTGGTGATTTCATGTACATTATGAAATGATCGCCACTATTAACTACCATAGGCATCACCTCACATGGCTAGTTGTGTGTGTGTGTGTGTGTGTGTGTGTGTGTGTGTGTTGAGAACACTTAAGATGTGTTCCCTAGGCCAGTTTCAAGTAGATGGTATTTGTCACTGCAGTCGCCGTGGTGCGTGCACTGGACCTCCAGAACATTGTCCTCCTAGAACATCTCCTCCTCGCTCCCCCCTCCCCCGCTCAGCCCCTGGCAACCACATCTGCTCTCTGGTTCTCTGAGTTCAGCTTTCTTAGATTCCACCTAGAAGTAGACCGTAGTGGTAGTTGTGGAGCCTGAAGTCTCTAGAAGCTTACAGTTGTGACTGCTGCCTCCCTGAGTCCAGAGGCTGGGAAGGGACTGGCGGCCCTAGAGGAGAAACCCTCCTCAGGCCCAGGCCCGGGAACGCCTTCTGCAAAATCCCAGAGCAGCTGTGTAAAATCCAGGACCCTGGCCCCCTCTGGGGAGTCCTCATCATAAGCGCTCGGGGGCACCTCACTCCATGCCCTGGGGCGCTGCAGGGGCGGGGCCAGAGCCAGCACCTCTCCCGCCCCTCCCCGCACTGCGTGCAAAGGCAGAGCCGGGTGCTGTGGACCCTTCCCCATGGCTGAGAAACCGCAGGACTGGTGACAAAGTGGAGGGCGGCTCCCTGGAGCTCCTGCTTTCCCATAAAGCCCCACGCTGGGCCCCCAGTGTCCTACGAAAAACCCCCTCCATTTACAGAGGGCACCGCCGGTTGGCACAAACCACCGGCCCGGCTGGCCTCCCTCCCACCCCTGGAGGCTACAGCCCACCGGCCACCGCCCCTTCCTCCCTCAGGGCGGCCTGACCCGCACCTGGCTGGCTGGAAACCCACCTACCTGCCCGCATGTGTTTCCATCCGCCCCTGCAGGCGGTGTGGGCGGTGTGGGGAGCCCAGGAGGGGTATTTGCACCGGGCTGCGCTGCTGCAGCACAGGAAGGGGGTCCACAGATGTGTGTTTGCCGAATGACTGAGGGAAAGGATGGATGCGCGGGGACCCTCTGGCAGCTGGTCTTCCATCCAGGGGCTCCTCAGTGCAGCCTTGGTGCCAGATGCAGCCGCCGCCCCCGCCCAATCCCATCTGAGCGTCCAGGCCCCGGAGTCTGTTTCAAGTCATGCTGTGGCCTCGCGGAGTGGGTGCTGGACCCAGAGAAAGGCAGGGCCTGCCTGGCCTCGTTCAGGTGGCCGGACCCCGGACCAGGCTCCTCCCCACCCCGCCCCTGCTCCTGCTGGCGGCGGGATCCTGGCTGTGCAGTCCCCTCTTGGTGTTACGTTGGGACAGTAGGCTGTACGGACACGGGGGGGGGGGGGGTGACAGGCACACCCACCACAGCCCTCGGCCCAGGCGACTCAGGGTAAAGGAAATTTCCTTCTCTCTGTGTTTATTTTCCACATCCTTGACTTTGAAAGCCAAGCTGGTGTTGATATTTACCTTGGCCGGGCCTCCCCATCTCCCCGGGCCAGCCTCGTGTAAACACGATGTTCCTTCTCGGCTCTGCTAGGGTTGAGGTGGCCTTTTGCAACCAATTCTAGGAATTTTGAAAGTCTGAAGGCCTAAGTTCAGGGACAAGCCCCCCAGGGACCCCAGGGTGTGAGGAGGCCTGGGGGGGGCCTCCGTGCTGGCCTCGGGCTCCCTCCCAGGGATTCCTACAGAGCTGCGGAGAAAGAGCTAGGCCTGTGGGGGACAGCTGGGCGGGGCCTCCCGGCGGACTGTCCCCGTGAAGGTTGGCCCTGGCAGTCTTGGGCTCCCCAGAGACACACAAGTTGGGACAGAGGCAGGAGCTGGCCGTGCCCCCCGGGGCTGGCAGGCAGAGAGCTTACTCCCACGGCACAGCCAGCTCTTCGGTGCCGTCCAGGTGTGCCGTCTGCAGTGCCTTGGGAACGTGGACCACAGGTGACATGCCGGCCAGGCGGCAAGTGTGGGTGCAGGCGGGCTGGGCCCCCTCCGAGCAAGTGCACGACCAGAGCTCCCGCCCTCGGAGGGCACAGGGTGTGCGGGCTGCTCGGGGCAGGGACGGCTGCTGTGCCGCGGGTACTGGAGGGGAGGGGCGTTCACACTCCCTGTTCGGATCCCAGCAACCCTCCCCCCCCACCCGCCTCCCCCTGCCAGACTGGCCTCAGAAGTGAGGCCTCAGGTAAATTACTTCCCTTCTCTGTGCGGTGCTCTCATTATATAAGAAATAGGGTGTCCGTCCCCTGGGACAAGGGTGTTGAGAAGCGTGGTGCGTTACTGGCAAATGGGAGCCGCTGTCCTGCCTGTCATCACACCACGTCCGCGGGCGCCACCGCTGGCTCCACGCTGACCGTCTCCTCTTCTCCACACAGATCTGGGACATGAGCGACGACGAGACGGTGTGACGTGGCCGCCCTCGCCGGGGCGGCTTCTCCTGCCTGCGGAGAGCTCGCCGATGCCCGAGTGGGACCCCCGCCTCCAGGACGGTGACTCTGGACCCTGCGCCCCTCCACCCTCTGTGGTCCCCTCCTCTGCGCACTCTGAGGACCAGGGCCCCCTCTCCACTGCCCAGGAGCTTCTGGGGCGCTCCATGTCTCATGATTCGTGATCCCGCCAGTTCTGAGCTAAATAATAACCTTGGCTTTGGCATTGCCACCGATCTGGGACTTGGTTCCCTCCGCTCGGTTTTTTTCCCCTTGTTGTCAAGTGTCGGACAGTAAAAGCTCCCAGGGTCCTTCCTACCTTGGCCCCCGTGGGGCAGCACCGAGGACGGGGAAGACTCAGCCCAGCACACAGCCGCGGTGGGGGCGGCACCGCGTCTCGGGGCTGGACGCACCCCCGGGGAGGGGCCTGTGGGCCGCCGTCCCCGTGAGCTCGGCCGGCCTGGCCTACGTGCAGGACCCGCGCTCGCCGCAGTGAGCCCCTGCCCACCCCCCTCACCCCGCCCCCCGGCCTGTCCCCAGCTGTGGGCAGAGCGTCCCTGCCCAGGGGAGGAAAGTAGCGGCTGCTGGGAAGGGGTGGAAGGCCCCGGGAGCAGGCCTCACCCCGGGGCGCGGGCTGGACCGGGCTTTGGGGCCAGCTCGTCCGGGAGGGCGGTTCTGCGGGCCAGGCCGTGGCCGGTGCTTCTCAAGTCCCCCCATTGGTGTTGGGGCCTGTGCGGGGCACCCCCCCCCCCGGGCCCACGGGTCACACACACAGCCTGTGATTTAAGAGCACTTTATTATTGTTCTTAAGGCTACTTTTAAGTACAAAAAAAAAGATGGCCTGCCAAACCTTTTTTTTCTTCTTCCAGGAAAACAGGCCACAGAGAACGGTATATTATACACATTTACAGACATGGGGAGAACGGTCAGAACGCGCCGCGGCGGCGGGGCTCTGCGAGGGCCTCCCTGTGCTCCTCCCGGGGCCAGGGAGCGCGGCCCTTCCCAGTGAAATGTCTGGCTCGCAGCTCCCCGCGTGCCCGGCGCCCCGCCAGGCCGCCGCCTATCCCAGATAGGCCTGCGCCCCAGGCCGCCCCTGCCCAAGCGACGACCGGCCTCCACGGCCTCGCTCGCGGCCAGACGCTCGGCCGCCGGAGGGGCCGCTCTTCACAGAGCCCGCCGGCAGTGGGGTTGTTTTCCTGTGAACGCTCAGTAGCCTGTAGCAATAACAAACTAGTGGCTATTAAGGCAGATGCAGTGTTCTCATAGAATAACTGTGTTCCTGCACTTTTACAGACAAATCTACGACAAAAAAAAAAAAAAGATCAACTTTTTTTTCCAAACGACAAAAAAAAAATGATTACAATAGGAAAGGGGAAATTAAATAGCTACATATCATTAACAAATTAATTGTTCTTCAAAAAATACCTACAAATTTCTCTGTACATTCTTTACGCACAGCGTAACGATGGTCTTAAAGTTACCTATATAAAAAAAGTGTTCTCACTGATTTCTTCCTACAGAAAATATAGGGGCCTGAACGCGAAAGCCTGGAAGCCCAGTTAAGTGGGAGTGAAGTGTGTGCAGGGGCGAGAGGAGAAGGGCTTCTTTCTGTCGTCTTTTCAAAGCCCTCCGGCCACCCTGTGGCCACGGCAAGGGCCAGTCGGCCGACCTTCCTGCCCAGGGACAATTTGCAGAATTAACCAACTAACTTGTCTTTTTCTTACACCGGAAACCAGCCTTGAGGGCTCACGCAAGTCCACAGTTGCCTCACGGGGGAGGTGGTCAAGCCTGGGTCACCCGGGCAGGTGTCTTCTGAAGCCCTCGGGTGGGTGAGGCTGGAATGTCGCACGGTGGAGGGGAGGTGGTGGGGGGGGGATAGAAATGTACGTTTAACAAAAAAAAGAGCAGCAGCTGTGGGACATCCACAGCTGTGTCCGTCATGCTTTCTTCTTTGCCTAATTCCTAGTTAGTAGCTATTACTCTAGCAAACGATAATAAATGCAGTAATAACTGTATAAAGTCAGAGGAATGTATACTGCCTTGGCCCCAGCGTACAAGGAAGCACACAAAATACCATATCACAGATTGTCAGGAATCTGCTGCTCAGCCAAGAGGGTTGAAAGGGAGCAGTTTCTGCCCGGAGGGAAGCGGGAAGACGCAAACCCCGCCTCCCCTGGGAGCGAGTCCTAAGCTGACAGGGGCGCACGGACCCAACGTCAGCCCGTGGCGAAAACTCCAGCGTCGTGCGCGGCGGCTGACCCAGCGGCTCGGCTGCCCGGCCCCAGGGCCCGCCGGCCCCGCGCAGGGGGGACACACACAAATCTCAGAGTAGCACTGTACCAGCAGTAAGTGGATCTAGGACTGTAACTGACAAAAATAAACTAATTCCGAAAAGAAGCTAGTAAGGAGTAAGGTTCTTGTTCACTATCTACACAGTTCATAGAAACCAGCTATTTTTCTCCATTAAAACACGCATCACGTTGAAAGCACTATAGAATCCTCCAACCTCAGCTCTAGTCTCACAAACTGCAGTGTTCAGGAAAGTACAATGCCCGTGACAGGTAGAGTCTGCAGTCCAGTTGCGAGCACCTGAAATCTAGAGAGAAAGACCGATAACCTGTATGAGACTTCCCCTTCCAAAGCTGTTTTGTCTAAATTAAAAGAACAAAAACAACAGAAAAAAAAAAAAACCCAAAACACACAAATGGTCAGAAATGTCATCCTTAAACCCTTTGTTTCTCAGCAGTTTGCCCTCAGAGTACTAGCATCTCACGTCAAGTTGTCAGGCAGGCAACTCGAGCCCTCCTCCAATAGTGCAAATCAGACGCGACAGTTCTCTGTTCTCTTCAAGTAGACGTGCGCACGCGGGCCGCACCAGACACGCCACGGAAGCGAAGCCACACACACCCTGGTCTCAGAAGCGGAGTAAGAAGCACAAAGCATCTGGGTCCCCGGCGTCATGGCTCGTGACTGAGCGCGCGAGCGAGCGCCGCGGGGCCCCGGCCCGTCGGGACGGCAGGCCTGCACCAGAGGTCTCTTTGGTAACGGAGCGGGACACTGCGGCCGCCGGCGCGCGCAGCTCCTGCTGTCACGGTGGAGGCCCCCCGCCCCCCACCCCCGCCCCCGCCGCGTACGGACACCAAGCAAGGACGAAACAGCACGAAATTCCCAACGACATGGTTTTTGCGAATAAACCATCCCTTCCCTACCCTTCCCCCGACCCCACCCCCACGATTTTTTTTTTGTTTTGTTTTTCTGTTTTGTAAGCACGGACTGTTCGAAGCTCAGGCAAACCATGCAGACTGACATCCTGTTCGCGGGCGCCTCCCTTCACGAGAGCACGGAGGGCGAGTGGCTGTGGCTGACCATGTGCGCCGAGGGGCTGGCCGGCCGGCCCCTGCGCGAGGCTGACTCGGGGCTGCCGGAGGCGCCGTCCTTGGCCGCCTTGATCTGCAGCCACGTGTCACCCAGGGCTTTGGCGAAGTGGTCGTCCACGGAGCCCGTGATGGACACCGAGTTGGGCGCCGGCTCGGGCTCCTTGTAGTTCTTGCCCAGGCTCCTGCGGAAGTGCTCCTCCACCACGGGGTCGCAGGTGGTGGTGGCTGTGGGGGGGGGGACGGCAGTCGGTCGGGGCTCTGGGGGCAGAGGGCCCATCCCCACCCGCCTCTCCGACCCTGTCACGTGGCATCCTGCCACTCTGGGCTGGGTGTCCAGAGAGGGAACGTGGTCCCCAGTCCAGGGGGATCCCGGAGGCGTCCTCTGTCCCACTAAAGCCGGACACAAAGCCGGGTGCTCCGAAAACCACACTTTTTCCAGGTTCCGTCCCCGGCACGGTGAAGAAGGAATGCGAACACTCCGCTTGGATCCTACCCAGTGAGGAAGCCCAGCCGCCCCCTCCCCCCCCCCCCCCCCCCCCGCCGCCCGCACCCCACGGAGTGACTTACAGCTCGGCGCCCTCCGGTAGCTGGCCGGCCCGGCCGCCGCGCAGCCGCTGTGCGCGATGGGGCAGTGCGAGAGGTTGCAGTTGCGGGCGCTGGCGGAGGCGCACGTGATCACCGAAGGCCGGTTCTGGGGACGAAAGGGGATGCTCAGCTCCGGCCGCAGCAGGCGGGCTGCGGCTCGCTCGCCCGGCTGTGACCCCAGTCCTTAGCCCTCGCCGCGGCTGCGGGGCGGGACGAGAGTCCGTGTCCCTCCACCGCGAGGAGGGACAGGCACCCATCCTGCCTGCAGGGACCCCGGCTCCTCCGCGCAAGGCCCTGGTCCGCACCCTCCCCTCCTCGGCCCCGGCCTGTCCCGCAGCCGTCCTGCCGTGAAAACCCACTAACCCACAGCAAACGCGCAGCGAGGGGGCCTCTGTGGGTGTGTGAGGAGCCTTCACGGCTCCCGCGGTCGAGTCCCCAGAGCGGCCCCGTCCCTCTAGGGCTTCTCGAACAATCCCGGGGCCCTTCCGGCGTGCTCCCAGCTTCTGCTTAAGAGACAGACCGCTCAAGGTGGTTTCTACTGTCACGACACAAGCCACGACGGAGACAGAAGTACAGGAGGTATCCCCCCGCCCCCCCCCATCGGCTGTGTCGACCCTCCCCTGCCCCACGAAGGTCAATGCTATCTGCCTGGTGAACTCTACTCCTTTACTACCATCTCTGGGAAGCCTTTTATAGCTGCCCGCCCATTCAGCAAGCCCACCATCCCCCCCGAGTGCGCCCAGAGACACCGGCCCCGGGCCCCCCTGGCCCACGCACACTTCAGAGCAGGGACCAGGAAGTGTGTCTGGACCCCCAGACCTTGGCCTAGTGCCCAGGACAGAGAAGATCCGTATGTCAAAGAGCTGCCGCAGGTGCCAGCCCGGAGCGCCCCCTGCTGACAGCGCTGAAGATGGGGGGACGGCGGGAGGGCAGCTGCGCAAGGGCCCCCAGAGGCCCCGGGATGAGACCAATGTCAATGTGAGAGGAATCAGGGCCGGTCCACTCCTGGCCTTTCAAGATTTCAACCAGTAGCTCCAGGAGGATACAGAAGGCGTGCGCAGCCAACCTCCCCTGACGGGAAAGGAGCAGGACTGGAAAACACGTTCTGTGATAAAGATCTGGACCCACGAGGATGGGCCACGCCGTGCTCGGGTCCAGCACGGAATTACTCGCATCCAAGGTGGGGGGAGACGTGGCTTAGCAGCAGCGTGTGAAGCAGAAACTGGGAGTTTCACTACTAGCTCAACACACCAGCCATGGGGACGGAGTGCGTGCGGCCCGCCCTGGTGTGGACAACAATGGCGCCGCGAGAACAAGGCTCTGAGGCCGGGGAGCCCCGCCTCACCCCGTGGTGAAAGCCAGCCCTCCGCCTGCACCCCTCTGGCCTCCATTTCTCCACGTGGGACAAAGGAAGAAGAGCAGCTGAAGAGGGGGTGGAGGACTGCCTGGCGTGAGCGGGGGGGGGGGGGGGGGGGGGGCGCAAGCCTGTGGTGACAGAGGAGTCCTGCCCTTCCGGACTCCGGGAGGGCAGCCTGCAGCCCACCTTCTGAAGGGTCTCTCTAAGGCCGAGCCCGCGTGCCCCCGCCTCCCGCGCTCCCTCCATGGGGCAGGGTAAGGGGGCCTTGCCCCGCTGGCCAAGCTGGAAATCTGACCCAGGCGCGGGGCCCACTACCAAGCCAGCCTCAGCAGGAGATTCAAGACTGGCCTCAGGAGCCGTGGGCTGGCTGTGGCGGGCTGGCGGGTGGCGGGCAGCGGGGACCCGGAGTGGCACAGAGCCAGGGGCGGGAGGGCCTGGCTTCCCCACCCGCTCTCCCAGGCAAGGGCTGGCCCTTCCTTCCTGCTACTGCTTGGACCCGTAACCCTGGGCTCCAGGAGACGCCCCGGGTTGTCCCAGTAAACCTCCCTTCCTTTTGTGCTTCCGTCAGCTCAGGCTGGTTTCTGCTCCTTGGAACTGGAGTCCTGACTAACGCAGTGTCGCAAAGCGGGGACGTGTTTTGGGGAGGGGGTCACGGAAGGTGAAGAAACGGAAAGTGCTCTAGAGCGATTTTAGGGAAGCTTGGAATAAAGCTGGGAGAATGAAGTCAATGCGCAGCCTCTGTTTCGGCCGCTCCGGGACGGGCAGGCCGCCTGGCAGGGGCCAGCAGGGCAGCACCCCCGACGCGGGGGGCGGCGCCATGAGGACCTTCTAACGTCCGTCTCGGGGGCACCTCCGGAGATGAAGGGCACACCGTGCATGTGCACGTGGACAGGAGGGGGCAGCCTCCCCCCCCAGCCCCCCACCCGGGCCACGCCGCCATCCGCCGCACAAGGAGGGACAAGCAGTGCCTCCTTGGCTGCTCACCAACGAAACAGAGTCCCAGGAAATGGGCGGCCGCCTGAGCGGACCGTGTGCTCACCTCTGTGTAGTGGGCAGAGTCCCGGGCCCGGAACCCGGTAACAACTGAGCAGAACCTCCGATTCCGGTGCCCGGTCAGGCCCCACGGCGCCGACCCCGGAGGGAGCTCAGCCAACGGCTCCCACATGAAGGAAACACGCTGAGGAGCTCTGCCTCACCCCCAACCCCAACCTTAAATGAAAGCTTAGGGGTGCGGCCACCACGTCGGGAAAGCCACAGGCGAAGCGCCTGTCCCAGGAAAGCTGTCACCCGTTCCACAGCCCCTGGCTTCGCTCTCCATCCAGGACTCCCCCAAGAACTCAGGTGGGGGTTCCAGGTCCTCAATCCTAGGAAACCGCTCCGGGGCCCCACGGCACATCTGACGCCCAGGGACCCTCTTGCCGGGGTGGGCGGCCAGACACGCTTTACAGTAGGCTCAGGGAGACCTCGGTTAGAAGAGCCAAGTCGCCCTGTCCAGAGGCACACTCTCACACAGCAAGCGTGACCCAAACCAACCGGAAGACCCTCAAAGTCATGGAAACCCACGATCCAAGCCAACCCACCAAAGCTACAGAGACAGCTGTTCTGGGCAGACACGGCCCCAGGGGCTCCTTCCCCGAAGCCACCACGGGCTCGGAGACTGACCTTCCCAGGGGGATCCCACGCCGCCCTCGCCGAGGGACTCCCCACGGCAGCCGGAGGGCTGAATTCCCTGATCCTAGAATCGAATTCTCTGCGGGCTCTGAGCGCGGCCCTCTGCACACACCTGCTGCCCGGACTAGACTGCAGGCTGGAACTGCACCCCGCTCATGTGTGCCCGTGTCTCCAGAGCTGTGCCGCGTGCCCGAGGCCCGGGCAGGACTAGTCCGTGTGCAGCAAGTGGCCGTCCCCAGGCACGTTAACAGAGCTGCTGGATGACCGGTCTCTTCTAGACTAGGACTGGGAGCGCCCTCATCTCGCCTGACGAGCTTCTAGCATCCTCACACACGGCAGCCGTCCACCCGGCTCCGTTATGTGAAGGAACGAGACAGGCGGGACATGGGTGTCCACCTCCCACGTGGGAAACGCAGCCGTCCGCCGGCCCCGCTGGGTTCACAGGCCCTGGCACGGCCTCCTCCAACGCCGAGGCCAGGCCCACGGCAGTTACTACAGACTCGATTGGAGATGTGCGCAGGGGAGCAGAGGGGCGCCCAGAAGCGGAGCCGGGCCTCCGGCTGCCCGCGGTGTCTCCTCGGGACAAGCACCTTCGTCCACTCACTGCCAGTCGTCTCCAGCAGACGCGGACTCGGGGCCTATCAGGGCACAAGGCCCCAACGTCTCAGAGAGAAACACCGCGGGCTCCTGCAGGGATTCCAAGCCTCAACGCCAATGCTTCCTTTCAGATTTCCCCAGGAGCCCCACTTTTGAAATATTGGGTTTTTTAATCAAGCAAACTGTGTTTATTAAGTAATAATTTGATTTCCTTCTTTTCCTTTAATAAAAAACATCCCTATCTGCCAGTCCCAGAATTCTCACCAGCATGAGCAAATACCCTCTCTGACCACTGACTTTACAGAATTCCAACCCAGAGCAAAGCAACCTGACATTTAGCTTCATCGGTGTGACCTTAGAACAGGGAAATGCAGAATTTTCCTCGATCCTCCTAGAAACCGAATCGCCGAGAAAAGACTCCTGAAAATGCACCTAATCTAAACCAACCCTGCCGGGCAAAGAAACTCCGCCCCGGAGACGTCAAACGTCTGGTCCAAGGCGTGATCCCGGAGGCGAGGCCCAGGCACGCGGGGCGGGGGGTGGGGGCAGGGGGAATACGGCATGAGGGGGCACTCGCTCGGGACAAGGACCCCTGCTACGGCCATTCCCCCCTCTTCCCAGTGCGGGCGGGACCAAGGCTGCGCACCGTCTCTCCCGCCGCCCCCCTTCGCAGCCCTCCGGCCCCTACTCTCCAGCCAGGCGGCGGTCCCCTCGCCCCTGGACCGACCAGCGGCCACCAACCTGGGCCTTCCGGGACAAAGGCGTACCTGCTGCCGCTCCGCGGGGGTCAGCGTGGGCGAGAGGCCGGCCGGTCTGCCGGGGTCCATGCTGTTCTTGGTCAGCGCCAGGGGCTGCTCCATGCTCAGGCTGGGGAGGGACGCGTACAGGTGGCTGCCGTGCAGGCTCACGGCGGGGGCCGCGGCACGCTCGATGGGGCTGCGGCTGCGCTCCCGGGGGTCTTTCCGGCAGTCCCCATTGGCAGTCTTGTTCCTGAAAAAGAGGAACGGGCGCTCAGATGCAAATACCGGCCACCTCCTGAATGGTGGAGCGTGGACCGGCCCTACGCCGGACGCTTCCCGCTGATCACGTAATTCTTCAACGCGCTGGGGGATAAACGTTTCCTCCTCATCTCCAGGTGCTCAGGCTCAGGCCAAAGGGCTCACCGGTAAGTGGAGGACACCCCGCCCCCCGTGCTCACCCAGGTCGGTGTGACTCCAGAGCTGCGGGGTGGAAGCAGCCCCCCAGGGTCTGCAGTCGGCCCCGTGGGGCCATCCAGAGAAGACGGCACCCCTGCGCGGGACGGGCCCTTCAGAGCCCTTCCGTAATCCACTCCACCTGCTCGGAGCCTGGGGATGCAGCCCGCGGGCTCCGGAGCCTCCAGTGTGGCGGATCTCGTTCGAAGCCCTGGCAGCACGAACTCTCTACAGCTTCCCAACAGCGCGAAGGAGGCGCCACCACGGCCTCCTGTCCAGATGACAGAACCGAGACTCAGGGCGGTGGTGTCCCCCTGGCTGGCAGCCGGGGCCGTTGGCCTGGCCCCGAGCGCGCAGCTGTACCATCGGGAGCACGGCCGCCGCCGCAGTCCGCCTGCGGGAGTCCTGGCCTGGCGCTCCGGCAGCCCCCGCTGCACGTCCAGCGCGAGGCAGGTGCCGTGTGGAACATGGAGGGGGCCGTGCGCACCACCCCTACCTGCAGCCTGAGGACCCACAGCCAGCACCCTACGCTGCATCCACTCAAGATGCTGCAGCGTGGGTGACTGCTACGGCTCAGCCGACAGAAGCCCACGAATGCCGTTCTGGGCTCAGCCACGCCCCTTCCCCTCCGTTCATTCCTGGGGTTCTTTCTGCCTCGGGTCTCAGCGCCCACAGTCCACCACGTTCCTTACTGCCAGCACTATCTTTCTTACTTAACAAATGAGAAGTCTTTTAACTAGAAACGGGGTAGATGATTCCAGTGACCTTTCTTTAAGGGATGCAGACAACTCTCAGCCCACAGCAAGCATCCGCCTCGGCGGGCACCGGCGGAGAAGCCGGGGCTCACGCACAAGACACCCAGAGAAACCAGTCCCAGCCTGCCTCTCGGCCTGAATCCGGTAACGGGGAAGTCAGGGTCTCACACACGCAGGCGGGCCTCCTCCCCCTGCTGCCTCAGTCAGCTGCGGGAGGTTAGCACACGGTGATCCCATACACCCCTGCCCGGTTTCCCCCACTGGTGACAGCAGGACACCTCACTCAGACGACGTGCCCTCTTGACGCCCACGTCCTGCTTTGCTTGTATTCATCCCAGTGTGATCTTTCTACAGCACAGACCCCACCACGTCTCGCCCTTAGTCACCGCTTTCAGCAGCGCCGCGCCAGCTTTCCGTCCCCACGCCCCACGCCTTGTGCTCGGCAGGTCCAACCGTTTACTTGCCGCTCTCCAGGTGAGACGCACCACTCTGCGGCTGACGGTGTGTGCGCATGCCCGGCCAACACACACACACACACACGCACGCACGCACGCACGCACACACAGCACTCGCTGCCAGCCGTGCCTGCAACTTCAGGCGCTGTGCTCTGGATCCCCGAGTGCCCCGAGCAAACCTTTAATGAAGAAGTCATCACACCACTATTAACGATGTCTCTTCATCTGGGCACCAGCCCCCCGGGGGGGCTTCTGGGACCACACCGAGCCCTGCTCACCCTGTACCCTCACTGCCCCGCATGCGCCCCAGCGGGGCAGGTCCGCAGTGAGGACCGTGAGGGAACATGAAGCGGGACACGTGAGACCATGGCAGGAAGGGCAGGCACCGTGGTCGTGGAGCGGAGGGAGGAGAGGACGCTGAGGCCGTGCGCACGGTGGGACGCACCAACCGCGGGCTGAGGAGTGCCCTGCAGAGGCCACAGCGCTTCATTTACGGCTGCCTTTCCTCCCCCTTATCCTCTGGGTTGACTACAGAGAGTGACTTAAAAGCAGCCAGAGGAGAAATTCTCAGCCTATTAAGACAACCGTGGGAGTCTGCGTTCTGGTCAAATAGTTCCAGAGATGCCACATACACCCCGACGATTTTCAAAGAATTACAAACCAAACAAAAACAAAACAAATAGCCTCAATTTTGAAGCCAGCCTGTCCACAATTCCATCTTCCTGTGATGATTCAGAAGATATCGCAGGCGTTCCCAGGGCTCCGAGAGCAAGGAGCCAAAATCACACCGCAGAGACGACAACGTTCCACAGGACAGGCTTCCAGCCGGCCAGTCGAACCCAAGATAAACTGGACTTGACCGAAATGGAAATTTATCGCCCAACGTACAATCTATCAGACTAGGAAACAACCACATTGTCGCAATTCTCATCTCCAGTATCAGGTCTGCTTCCCAATGTGGATAAAATGTGGTGCTTGACAAGATGCGTCAACTGCTCCCCTGAGAAGCTCTTCTCCCTGCCTGTCACAACGGGGCTCCTGGAGCCGCTGCACAAAGTCCAGAAACCCTGCACGGCCTGATGAACTTCCCAGTCCGAAGCTGCCTCTGTCCAATTCAGACTCCAGCTTACCAAGCAGTGTTAACTGAGCCCCTATCCTGTGAAGGCTACAGAAAGTAAGACACAGCCCTGCCTTCTCGCGGGGTCCCACTCATGACCCGGCTGTGCGGAGGCAGAGGCCGGGGGGCGGGGGGGGGGGGCAGGCTCGCATGTGACCGCTACAGCCAGGGAGAGCCGGCAGGTGCCACACCACAGCCCCAGAGAAGATGCTGGCGAAATCAGAGGATGCAGAGTCGCCGGGGCTGGCGGGAAGGGGTGGCCTGAAGCTCAGGCAGTACCTGACCCCATCCACCATCAGATTCGCCAGCACAGACCTACAGCACCACCGATCCCCCCAACCTCATTCCCGAGTGGCACCTCAATACTGACAAAGCCAGTGACGAGTATTAACCCAGCCGAGCCTCTTGACGGTCAACAGAGGCGTGGGGATGAGTAAACCACAGTACAGAGGAAGGGATGCCCAAAGGCAGCAGAAGTGCATGGTCCAAAGGCACCCGGCTAACAGGGCACGGGTGGAGACGGGGCGTGCCTCGAAGACCCGCTCTGCACCCACACCGCCCCGGGGAGCAGGAGGAGAGCGGTGGGGCAGCTAACCAGAGATGCGATGAGCTGCGAACATGACACCACGGGACATCATAGACCAGACAAGACACGGGAGACACAGGAAGAAAATGTCCCAAGAACCTGGTGTTTAATTTTGGTAAAATGATGCATTACTCACATCTCCAGCTCACTTCGCTGCTTCCGGGAGCTTGAAGACAGGCACTGGTGCCCAGATTCCCCTCCCCCGTGAATCACGCCCCAGGCCCCGCCACCTCCCTGAGCGTCCTGTGCTCTCACGGACGGCACACAAACCGCACCCTTCCTGCCCGCCAGGGCCAAGGCACCCCGTCGGACGGACAGACGGAGTCTGCTCAGGAAAAACCGACTGCAGCCCCGTCGGAGCCTGACGGGCCCCAGGTGCCTGGATGCCAGGCCTCCGCGGCTCCCCAGCCCCTCCCTGAGAACCCACGGCGGTCCTGGGGCCAGACTGGCCGTGTTTCAGGGGAGAGGAAGTGGGGGGGTGGGTAACCCGGTGTCCTGGGGCACGGGTACCATGTGCCCCCTTGCACCACACCTCCAGCTGAGGAACTGGAAGTGTCTGCTGCACCCGGGGAAGCATGCAGGAGTCCAAGTGGCCAGGCTATGGGAGAATCCATCGCATAAAAAAGTGCACTGTGTCCATCTGTACTGTCATTAAAATGAGATTACCCTGCCTTTAGACAAACAGGTGCTTGGAGCTGAAACCAGACCCTCGAGAAGGTTCCACTTGATATTCCTGGGCCTTGACGGAATTCCATTAACTATTGATGGCCATTAAATAAACCAATGTGAGTGTAAATTCTTCAGCAGGGGGAGAGATCGGGTGTAAGACATTTTAGGCAGTGCTTTCGAGGAAATATTCTGGGCCCCGGGGGCCCCATGCTGCAGGCCTCTCGGCCCAGGTGAGTACGGTGGAGCCCACTCAGACCGGTGACGGGTCCCGGTGACACACAGAACATCCCTGAAGTGACAGATGGCCCTGTGGGGTGCCAGACCAGTCCTGGCAGGGGTGAACTGAGGGTCTGTGGCAGCCTCCGCTGGTACACAAAGGCTTAGTGCAGACAGAAGTTCAAAGCAGGAAGGAGACAGGAGCAGAGGTGAGGTGAGGGGAGCAGTGGCCCAGGAGGTGAGGGTTGGGGTGCAGATGCAATCCTCTCCCCAGCACAGTCCTCCTCCTACTCCCATTTCACTCCTTATGGGAGCGTCACCCTCTGGAAACCAACAGGACAGTAACAAACCTTCACACTCTAGCATGAACTATCAACTCAATAAAGCATCTTTGATTTTAAAAAAGCTTCCTCAGACAACACACTTCATGCCACTGAAGAGAAGGTTAAAAATGGCAGGGGAAGGTGGAGGGGGTGCGAGGAGGCGCCTGGGTGGCTCAGTCAGTTAAGTGTCAGACTCTGGCTCACGTCATGATCTCATGGTTCCAGCCCCCCTACCTGGCTGTCAGCACAGAGCCCGCTTTGGGTCCTCTGTCTCCTCTCCTTCTCTCTCCGCCCCACCCCGACTTGTGTGCAGGCTCTTCCTCTCTCTCAAAAGTAAACATTAAAAAAAAAAATGGCTGGGGCGCCTGGGTGGCCATTAAGTGTCCAACTTGGTTGGGCTCAGGTCATGATCTCACGGTTCGTGGGTTCGAGCCCCGTGTCGGGCTCTGTGCTGACTGCCAGCTCAGAGCCTGGAGCCTGCTTCAGATTCTGTGTCTCCCTCTCTCTCTGCACCTCCTCTGCTCACGCTGTTTCTCTCACTCTCAAAAATAAACATTAAAAAAATGTTTTTAATAAAAATGGCTAATGGGGTGCCTGCCTGGCTCAGTTGCAAGGGCATGTGGCTTTTTTTTTTTTTTTTTTTTTTAAGAGAACTCAAGTGAGAAGGTGAGCATGA